ATACAGTTCTGGCAATGAACAGTTGGCATCATACAGTTCTGGCAATGAACAGCTTCTCCTTTATGTTAGAACACCTCAATAACTTACCAATAAAAATAACATTGACATTGGGAGCTTACCGTTTGAGTTTTTCTCTGATTTCGGGATTCTTTATTTCATTTTTTAGATCTTCAAATGTGTGTGTGGAAGACAGATTACAAAAGACTCTAAATTCGTGGTAGGGTGGGATCCCGTGATCTCTCCCTCTCTGAATATTCATGGCAGCCAAATCGAGAGCTACGGCCCGTGCCATGGAGAACAGTCTCTCCGTCAGTTCAGTGTTCAACAGCTGAGAGGTCACACGCATCTTACCGGCAGTGCCAAATAACCCTCGAAGGAGCGGATCGATGCCTCCTTCATTTACAATCCGGAATGGGGAAAAGAAAGCTTTGTGGAGAGAGATGTGGCCCTGCGGAATAGTCTCGAAATTCTCGTCCAATCGATAGAGGACAGGGTTGATCAAGGTGTGTCCGAACCTAAAAGCTGCAGTTGCAAATTCGTTTGTTATGCCAGAATTAACGTTGGGATCATAACCTTTATATTCACCGAGCATCTTCAAGCCCACCACTCCCAGGATTTTGGGCAGCCAGTGGCTGTAGGTTATATGCTGCATCTCCGCACCAACGATTTTACGTGTTTCGTGATATATTGTATCGCCATCCCAATGTGGGTTCAGCTTCAGTAATTCAGTAGCAATCCTGTTGTGTTCTCGAAACCACAGTGTGTGCATACTGGTGAGTCCCAGCTGTTCGTTGGCTCGATGGTCTCCAGCTAAGAAGCAGGGAATTGGGCTCTCGTTCTCATCCCTCATACATTCTGTTGGAGGGCCCGTCGCAAATGGGAGGAGAGGCTTTCCGGATCTCTGCACAATACCCTGCCTCAGGAGGCCCCGGTGGCTTGCCAAGTCCCTGACCTCTTGCGCTTCATGCTCTGAACTGCCGTATACATTGGACGCATCAATGTACGAGGTCAACTGATTGATCTGCTCTCGTGGGTAGACGGAGTTCATGAGAAGGGAGGTCATGCCACTTCCACACACGGGACTGGAACGTACAAAAAACATGCACCGTGCTCCATTTCTGACCCGAGGATCATTAGGCGGGATCATGATAGAGAAACACGGAGGGTCATTGGTACAAACTGAACTACAATGCTGACCGTCTGAAAACCTGGCTTCGCTTAGGGCAGCCACCGTGGAGTCAAGGTCATGATCCAGGAATTGGCCCCACTGCATAAGCATATGACTGAACTGGTCATCTGGAGTTATTGTTTCGGTCCCTATTAAGGTAGTTGATACCAAACGGGGCATTGGGAGCGTGTATCCGTTGTAATGTCGATTAGATCCGATGCCCCTTGGCAAATTGAAACCGTTTTCATAGACCGATTTCAGCAGTCGTTCAAAGGCCGTGAGGGAGGCTCCCCACATCGGATGCTGGAGATTATTGCACGTCCCATCGTGTGTTCTGTATTTCTGATGGTAGCACATGTCGGAACAATTATTCACACGCCTATGGGCAGTGCAGCCTGACAGGTTAGCGATCAGATTCAAATACTGCGGGGATACCAGATCATTATAGTGATAGCCTGGAACAGACAAGAGGGAGAAAAATAAGTTATTCATAAAGTAATGAAGGCAGGCTGAAAATCAAATCAATCAAGAAATGCTGGAGAAGTAGTGAAAAAAAACCTCAAGTACGATGAGCCTTTTTCATCAGTTTATTAAGCAGACGGAACAACTGGCTAAAGATCACCTTGAGCAGGAATTCTGTATTTTAAGGTCTTTTAGTTCTATAGATTGTACAATAACAGGAAATGAGGAAGAAAAATTAAAAAATATTTTGGTGTGTAAGTTAAGTATGGAAACCAGTATGAAAATGCTGAAGTTTAGTTTCTACTTCCAATGATATTCCGAAAGGCATCACTTAATGTAATCCAATCATTGGTTCAAAGTCCATGGCTGATCAATCAAAATTCTTTAGCTGACAATCAAAGTAAAAATGGTGCCCTACAAAATTGCTACTCTGCTAAGTCTATTCAAAAAATGATATGAAATTCTCGAGAATGAAGGGATTCAAAAATATTTTTGCAGGGATGATTAATTTATTGACTCTTAAGGAAATTACTGGAAGAATGTGTTAGGAAATGTTGCAAATGTAAAGACTCCTGGACAGAATTCTGCCCCCCAGCCTTTGTAAAAAAAAAATAGGCGAGATCTTTTCTGATCCACAAATTTACTTATATGTAAAGGATTTCTGCCTGGAGTTAATAACTCTATTGCCAAGCAACCCTTGTTACTGTGCTTGGGTATGCAAAGTGATGAAGAGTGAAGAATTTAAAACCTAGCTATCATGAGGTAATAAATGAACAGCATTAAACCTAAAATTAGTTTTTACCAGGATTACTTGTGTATTATCTTTTAGTACACATTAACATCAATAATGTTTAATAAGGAAATTGCATTAATTTATAATTTTTTAAAAAAAACATGAATAGTGCTGCTACAGATGCATTTATTTGATTTTAACAAGTCAAACACATTCTAACAATTTGGCTTTGATATTTGAATATGAAATCATGCAATAAATAGCTGCAATAAATGATCTGTTCAGCTGCAGACATCCTTGGGAAGCTTATATTACTCAATCTGGTGATGTTCCAAATTGACAAAGCAGATGCTCACAAATCTTGTGCATTTCCTAATCTAGAATCTGAAGTTAGGTTTTAAGTTGTAGAAACAGTCAAAACGCAAGAAATATGCTAAGCAAAAGATACTTCTTTTCAACTGATAAATCTGGTTAATAATACTAGACTGTTTAACAACTCCCTTTCATTTCGCTTCTGTAACGTTTTAATCTAAATCAAATTCTTTGAAACTTATCTCAGAAGAATAGATAACAGCCAGATAATGGAAGAATGACTAAACCATTGCTTTTTAATTTTAACTTCTGCTGCTTCTAGAATTTATCAGAAAAATCCAAATTGGGCTCATCCTGGAGATTCTATTTGACATGTAGCAAGGCTTAGTTTTTGAAACACTGGATGATTGCCAATAACACCAAGTCAAAAACTGATATTGCTTTTATAAATACCAAAGCATCTATTTTTATTTGGACTTTCCCGATAAAACGGCATGACAGATTTAAGAAAGATTGATTGATTTTTCTTTCATTTGAGATTAACGTCATCATCAATTGTGTGATCCTAATCTTGAAGACCACAATCCTTGCTTCTGGTTACTTTCTGTAATTTCATCTTGCTCTCCCCCTTCTCTCTTCCCTTGTGTTTCTAACTGCACTGGTATTTATAATTTTATCCCCCCAGTTTTAAGGAAACTGAAAGCAGCTGGCCCCTTCTTTTTACCCAGTGGTTTCAATCACAGAAAATCTATGATTCACTCCATTTTTTAGAAATCTATTTCGACTTCTACTTATTTTACAGAGTACAATTCTGAACTCGGGGTCTGCTGACTGACATGAGAGAGAGAGAGAGAGCAGATGCGATGGAACATGAGACAGAAAATGGCTATTTGGCAGATGCAACTGGGGAGACCGACATGTTACAAAAAGTTAAAGATGACACAGTAATCCCATCAGATACAAAAACGAGAAGAGACAAGAATGGAAACAGGGAAAACGTTGCTTATGCAAAATCATGGACCCCCTTCCCTTGTGACTGTGCATTTGATGGCAGAATTTGATGGAAAAAGCACTGCTGGATAACACATTTCTCTCACTGCATTCAGTGGAGAGGAGGGGGGGAAAAGACATTAAATCGCACACACACCCGTTGTCACACAATGGGCCACAGAATATATTGGAATCTGGCTCTGATCACAGGAAGTCAAACCTTGTATACACAGTCACAACAGAGAAGCAACAATTCAGAAGGAGAAGAGAAGGTGGCAAGAAGAGGTGAAATGCTCTGGCCTCACATCCTGCACTCCTACAGCGTGCAAAAGAAAAACACCCACTTGTTCCATTAAGGTCAACCATTAAACCATCTTGTACATGTTCCTGAATTAGTTGCAGTGTCCTTTCAAATATTTCTCCAGCTCTTGCTTGTTCGATAGTGTAAGGATCTCTTGGGTATCGAAATAGGGCTAGTAAATCATTTGGCGATCGAGGGCGACTAAAAAATTAACAAGAAAACGACAAAAAATAAACATAGTGTCTAGAAGAATAAGATTAACTTACCTCGAGTTTTAATCCTAACACTATTCAAGATTAGCAATAATGCTTATATTAAACATCTCTAAACAATTTACAAGTACGTACCTCAAGTAATTATCCAGTACTGCAAGCCAATAAAAAAAAAGATTTTAAAAAATTAGCATTTGACAGCTGCTAAGAGGAATCTCTTGTTAAGCCATCAAGAAATAATATTAAGTTTCATTTCCAATGTTTAGCAGCCTTCGCTTTAAACTGGCCTCCCCTTCAATTGGTATGAAAAATGGAAATACCCAGAAGACCTAAAGGAGGAAAGTTCCAGCACCCAATGGGAAAATAGACTACTGTCATCTACTATGTTACACAAAGACCTAACAGGTGTATTTGTGGAAGGATAGGAAACTGGGAAAGAACCAACTAAAACGATTATAAGAATCAGGGTATTGCGATTCCAAGTCAAGTTCAAGTAAAGTAATCAAGTAATTAAGAGACAACCAATATATTATTATGATATAAACAAATCCTTCCAATTATATACAATACCTATCAAACAAATGTGTGCGTGTGGAGTTTATTGCTCGGTCAACAGTAGCAATAGCTTCAACAATTGAGCTTGCTACAAATGGATCTCCAGTTCGACTCACATCAGGAACTAAGAAGAAAAAAAGGGGGAAATTAAACGTTTTTTCAGAGTTACACAGATAAGCAAAGTCTAGACATAACATTATTTTGGTATTAAAAATAAAATTCTATTTACAATTTTCTGTAAAATTACTCATCTGATGGGAATGTTATAAAACTACAAAGTTACTCTTTCACAACCACTATTTAAAAATATACTTTCCATTTTTTTCCCCAGAAAAAAAAATATTTAGAACAATCAAAATGAGGCAGTAAGCTACAGAATAAGCAATGTGGAGAAGAATTGGGGCTGTAATTCCCTTCAAAAGAACAATTGATCAGGAACACTGAACAGGAGTGCTCATTTTANGTGGACTTCAACTCCCAGAATTCCCCCAGCCAGCTCTGCTGGCTGGGGGATTCTGGGAGTTGAAGTCCACAGGACTTAAAGTCGCCAAGGTTGAGGAACACTGCATTAACAGAACATTTAAAGCATGGTTGTGTTTAATGGCAGAACATTACTCATTACATTGACTTTCTCTTTCTCTATGCCATCACTGTTTCTGATAGTTCTTGAAAAAGTAAATTATTTTTTAGAAAAACATACCATAAAAGATAAAAAGAGACATTCTTTTTTGTATTATCTGAATAAATCTAAGCTCATTATGGATAACTCAAATGAGCTGCAAAGCCCCTCTTATGCCTTCTATCAATCTTTCAAGCATCAAAGCATCAATGTCCATAATGGCAATATAATGGCATGTAACAAGGAATCCTCGACAAGAGCTTTGCATGCAAAAGCTTCCTTGCAATCCTAAATCCTGCACACAAACAGTCTGGTGGCACGTGGTTAGAATGCAGTATTGCAGGCTAATTTTGCTCACTGCCAAGAGTTTGATCCTGACTAGCTCAAGTTTGAGTCAGCCTTCCATCTTTCCAAGGTCAGTTAAATGAGGACTCAGGGGGGCAAAAGGTTGACTCTGTAAACAGCTTAGAGAGGGCTGTAAAGCACTGTGCAGCAGTATATAAGTCAAAGTGCTATTGCTATTCACTTCACACAGGAAAGTATATTATACTCCTAAACGTTAAGACTTCTCTGCTGCTGATTCCTGTGGCATCCGTGGGAAGAAATGGCCCTTCACAAATGATAAGAGTGAGTTGCAAAGAGAAGGATTGCTCACTGTTGCTGCCTGTTTGGTTCTAGGTTGTTATCTTCTGACTGGAACTCTTGGAAGCGTAGGATGAGTAGTTTTATACCAAACTTACCTGTCTCCATCTCGGAGACGTTTAAACTGTGTGCTCAAGAGACACATCAGTGTAGGTCCCAACCTGCTTCCAGGAACTAGATCTTCTAGTATAAGAGCAGGAAATAAATCTATGTTCAGTGGTGAACCATATAATCTATGCAAGAAAAATAAATGATTGCAGTTGACCCAAAGTATGAATTCAGTGTTATATTGAATCTTAAAAACTAAAACTAACAGGAATTATTTTGGATTTGTTATATCTTTTGGCTCAATTTTTACTTGCCACATTTACTATGTGTTAATTTGAAACAGTGCTCAATGGATTTAGTTCTGAATCTACAAAGTTAAAAACAAGCAGTCAGCGTTTTCTTCACATATTACAGAAAGACTATATTTGAACCTGTGTAGAGAATGCAACTGTCTTCAAAGGAAGAGATTAACTGCATACTGGTAGGAAAAAATAGGAGGCTCTCTAGCTTTTTAAAAATGTTTTTAAAAAGGTAAAGAAACATCAATCTTATGCAGTATCAGCTGATTTCCAAAACATGGTTCTTTACATCTGGTACAGAATATGATACCCACTATAGTAAACTTTGGTTGGTTCAAGGAACTTTCTCTATAGGTAGCTTACTTCATCCAGGAAAACATCTGGCAAGATATGTACACTACCATTCTCCATATGTAAAGCTTGTATACTATATAGGCATCCAAATGTGAACACACTATGAACTGCATACTATTTTTCATTTAGAATGTCAGGAAATAGTTTAGATTTTGTTTTAAACTTTCAAAAATGATTTTATAATAATATATGGATGTGAGAAGTCTTCATGTATAAGACAATAAGTAACAAAACAATACTCTACTTTGGCATAAAAAACTGAATTCCTTCAAATCCAGGGAATGATTATGAAAACTAGAGAAAAGAGCTACAATGAAGAATGATTATCTACATCTCCCATTGACCATGAATTTTAGGGTAAACATCTGTTATGTGAAAGCTTATCTGAAATTTAGTTCTTACATGGTTAAAAGTAAACAATTGGNTTTTCAGTGTAACACTTTAAACTCTAATCAAAGTAGCCTGTTAATTAAAATCTGACTGCCTTTTGAGTAGCCTCCACAATGGGTGGTTTCAGACAAAGGGAGGTGAAGAAGCAAGCATATTCCTTTTACAGACTGAACTCTGCAGAAAGTTAGGAAATATTAAACTGGCATGCAGTACCTTATTCCATGTTATTACTGGCTCTGGTTCTCCTTGAGAACTGCATGGAATCTGTACATTTGTGCCCACTTCCACTGTCATGTCACTTGGAACATTAGCAAACACAGGAGTTACTAAAATAAAGATTCCCAGAAGGAAATATCAAGCTGATAATTTTTTTTTAAATAAGCAATTTTTATTCAAATCATAATCACCTAGTTTTCAGCCTAACATCATATTATTAATATAGTACAGAATATAATTTATCTAAAATTAAGGATTAAATACATTTCTAATAAATATAAAACATGAACCTGAGCTCATCCCAAAGACTTGATTCAGGACAAGGACTTTTTAATTTAGTTTCTTAGCCATTGTTTTTCAACTCTTCATGCTAACATTCCTTTCCTAATACAAGGACTAATGCATCGTTATGCTTTAACAACTATGAAGTTCCTATTTTCCCCACATATAATCTTCTCTGCTCCTCAGTTCTCTATCCACCCAGTAACAGCTGAATTTTGGATTCCATCTACGCTTTATTTAAACATGCAATCAGTAAAAACACCATTACTGTATTCAAAAGGAAGCTTGGGGACCTGGCTCAGTTCAGAGCACTAATAAGGAATTTATAGGGATGAGATATTAACCCTCTTGTATCCCCTCCACTTTCTTAGAGCATATTTAGTTCAGTCAATTCATTTCAGTAAACAAAATACTGATTTTTGTTTGTAAGAAAACAATGAATAAAATAGAATTCTACTGGCCGAGTGTGATTGGACACACAAGGAATTTATCTGCNTTTCTCCCATTCATGAAAATGGATCCCGTGAAATATATCCATGGAGTTTAATAACCTCTTGCTCTAGAGACCACGGGTGTCAAACTGGCAGTCCGTGGCCCAGATGTGTCACGCTCAGGCCACGCCCACCCAGCTTTGCAAAAGAAAAAAAACGTTGCAATACAACACATGACATCATCATGACGCAATGAGTTTTGACGCCCATCCTCTAGACAAAAGAAGGTACAAAAAAAGTGAAAAAGATAAAGGAATATGATGAAAATGAGACTTTTTCTGCCAACAAAACTCCTCTTGGTATTTTTGTGTCCATTGGTAAGTATAATTTCCCCAAAGCTTTTGAAACAAACTATTACACTGAACATTAAATAATTCTCCATTAAACATTTATTTAAGTTTTAGACTCTCTGTCTTTGATTTAAATTTGCAACCAACAAACATGTTACTCAGTGCCATTTTATTAAATAAAAGTTACTAAAGGAGAGGTTGATTATTAAAGTCAAATTTAATAATTACTCCAAAATACTGATGCATTACACTGATAACTTTTAATAATTTAATTCAATGCACACAATACTTAATCTGCAGTTGTCTATTCTCATGTATAAATCTTACCGTTCACAGTTAGTACCATGCTAACCGAGGAATATCCAATCGTATTCCTTGCTACGCATTCATAACGGCCTTGATCTGCCGGGCCAACATCTCGAATAGTAAGAAATCCTTCAGAGTTAACATGGAATTTCCCACTTTCTGTCACCTGAACACCATCCTGTAGCAATTAAAAAGGCCAAGATATTCCATAACTTAGGCAGTGTTTTAAAAGAACTGAAATTTTTTGAAGGTGTTTGTTGTGTGTTCTTTAAATTGTGTCAAAGGAAAATCTAAATTTAAATTTCCAACTCTTAACAGGTAAGGAATTCTTGATTCATATGCATAAACTGTGTTTTGAAAGCTTAGTCTTATTCTAAGGCAGTGTTTTTTAAACGTGGGGTAATTTGGATATATCCTGGGGTTAATGAATCAATTTCAAATTGTTATTTAGGATCCAGTTTGGGACTGTCACTGCTGAGAAGTTTGTGAAAAAGAATCTGTTTTCTTTTTGGGGGATGTAATTATATTATTCAAGACTAGAAAAGTTGTAATTGAGTTAAACAGTTTAAGAAAGATTACTGTAAGGTCTCCCAGGAAAACAGTAAAACCACTGTTTTCTGCAAAACAGAAAAATGTGATTCCCTCACTGCTTCCTGCACCCCAGAATATGCCCTCCAAATATGCTCCTTTAGGAGAAAATGTTCTACAGCAGATGCACCAAACGTAAGAAAATGGTGGAGGGAGGAGAGAGAGAAAAAATACTATCATATGAGCAGACCTCTTGGTTTCTACTCAGTGCTTTGCATCCAGATTTAATAATGCTTAGAGGAGACTCATTTAAGTTAACGGTCAAAGTTATCTCTGACTGAATCCGTTTGCCTTTAGGAAATTTATCCTAGGCAGAACTAAGTTTGGACTCAACTTTAAGAGTTTATAAAGAGGCTCAAAAGTGCTGAAAACTTACAATTGACTTGATGGTTATTAAATTATGCAAATTATGAAACCCGAATCTCAGCATTTGTGATTAAGTGATTAAGAAGCACGACTGCTTTGCTCAATGACCACAATCCAGCACTCTCTATGTTTCCATTGTTAAGCAATCTCTTGGGTCTTTAAGTGGAGAGAGCAAAAGATCTGTCTGTCTGTTGGGAGGATTTCAGTTCGACATGGAGCTGAATCCTACTGGCAGGCAGCCCTTTCACTTTCAAATGTACACCAAAAGATTTCAGTTCCCCCCCCTGCCCCCCATATGCAATTCAGGATTTCAGCTCTGTTCTTGCAGCCCATTGAAGGATTTCACCTCCCTTCCATGCTTGAAAGGGAAATCCTCTGGAGGGCTTCAGGAACAGAGCTGGAATCTTCAAAATTTTAGGTGAATGGAACTGAAATTCTAAAAATTCCAGTTCTGTTCCTTCGGCCCACCAAAGGATTTCAGCTTCCCTCTGTGCTGCACAGAGATGGAATCCTTTAGGGGGCTGGGGAAGGAGTCCAGCTTCACTCCATCCCTTCTGCTTGTAAGGTCCTTGGCAACCAGTCATAAATGTGAGCTAGTTGCCAAGCAACCAAAATGTAACCATGGGGAGATGGGAATGGCATGTTTTATGGCAGCTGGAAGCAACTCTTTCCAAGTCTGTCATAAACCAGGACTATCTGTATATAATTTGAAAGGCATATGTGCTTTAACTTCAAGCTTTCCACCACAATCACCATAGAATAAAAACTGTTATTTTAATGTTGTATTTCTTTGAACAGGTTTTTTTCCATATCTACCTGGGAGTACCCATAGTGCTTTCTAATGCTTTAATGAAATTTAACAGAATTGTGTAGATCCTGTGTATGCAGGCAATCCTCGACTTACAACAATTCATAGATACGACAGCTCTGAAAAGTGACTTATGATCGTTTTTCACACGACAGTTGCAGCATCTCCAAGGTCATGTCATCAAAATCAAGCCAGCTTGGTACCTGGCTCATATTTAAGAAGGTTGCAGTATCCTGGGCTCATATGACCAGTCTTTGTGACTTTCTGACAAGCAAAGTCAATGGGGAAGCCAAATTCACTTAAAAACTGTGTCACTTAGCTGCAATGATTCACTTAACAATTGTGGCAAGAAGGGTTATAAAATGGGGCAAAACTCACTTAACAACTGTCTGACTTAGCAACAGAAATTTGGGGCTCAATTGTACTCATAGTTTAGGATTACCTATAATTGGAAGGAGTTAGATTTTCAGTGTAACACTTTAAACTCTAATCAAAGTAGCCTGTTAATTAAAATCTGACTG